TATAACAGTGCAGCAACAATGACTTCACATTGTCACAGTGGAGTGAGCGCACAAACATTTACAGCACTGTCACAGACTACATCACAGATACTGTTGCAGTCTCATATTATGAAGCAGCTCATTGAGTTCCTGTTTCTCTTTATTCTTTATCTTTTCTTCATCTTCAAGTTGCTTCCGTACGTTTTTCGGCGCTTAACTACTCCCGCAGTTTGTGCCATTTTCACCATTCAAATTTTTAAAAAAAATTCTGCTCTTTCCAGCTATGACTTTTGGTGCTCATAACTTCTATACTTTTTGAGATATTGAATTTTTTTTGCCCATTTCTGCCATATTATCAGTGGCCTCACTGATTTTCCTTGTTGGGTTGACCTGTGTTTTAGCTCAGTGAGATGAGCATCCGTTCTCAGACTGGGAGGCCCGGGTTCAAATCCCGCTTATGGCAACATTTCTTTCAGTTACCAATTCAACTTATTTAACTCTTTTCAACACAAATTTCAGCTTTTTCAGCAAAAACCTCTTTTCAGTAGAAATTCTGCTGATTCACCTCTTCTGCAAAATTTTCAGCCTTTTCACCTCTTATTAGCACAAATCTCAGCCGTTTTCAGAAAAAACAAAAAAACAAAAACTCTTTTCAGCAGAAATTCTGCTGATCCACCTTTTTTCTGCAAAATTTTTAGCCTTTTCACCTCTTATCAGCACAATTCTCAGTAGCTTCTGCTCATTTCAGCAGAATTGTCAGTCTCTCCACCTCTTCTTTGTGAGAATGAGTTTGGCTCGGTGAGATGAGTAGCTGCCTTGACACCAGAAGGGCCAGGTTCGAATCCTGCTCAGGGCAACGTTTTTTTTCTTCAACTTTTTCAGCTTTTTTCAGCAGACATCTTCAGCGTTAAGGCATCCACACAGCATTTTCGCAGGAAATGCAAATTTTTCTAGTTACTGTATTGAAATGACTAGCACAGAAAATTAACAAGTAAACTACAAGTGATGCAGTGAAAAAAAACCTCTTTCCTGATTTCTTTTCTCCTTTTGCATATTTGTCACATCTCCATTTTTCAGATCATCAAATAAATGTGATTATTAGACAACGATAAGCTGAGTAATTACAAAATGCAGTTTTTGAATGATTTCATCTATTAAGGGAACAAAGCTATCCAAACCTACATGGCCCTGTGAGAAAAAGTAATCACCACCTAAACCTCATAACTGATAGTGCCACCATTGGTAACAAGAACTGCAATCAAATGATTGTGATAACTGGTAATGAGCCCTAAATATCGCTATGGAGCAATCTTCAGTCTCGAGACTTGAGTGACAAAACATTTCTCCCACTGTCCTTGTCATGGGAGAACTGAAGTTGCCCCTTCTCACAAAGAACAGGAGTCTACTAATGGAAAAATTATATCGGCTGGACTATTACCTGCACTATTCTATTGGTTCCAACAGGTATTGCACAGACTTTGTACTAGACTAAAAAGCACGTAATATCTTATCTGCATTCTCACACACACCGATGTCTGGGCTGCACTCAGTAAGTGAAAACACCTCAAAAGTATATATATTTTTTGTTTGTTTTCCTTCTTGTGTCAATCAACTGCACCTTCAGAAAGAATGCATTTTGCGCAGCACCAGTCTTACCTCCATTTTTGCATTTGTCCATCTTGGCACTTCAACAACCATGTGAAAGATGTTCTGAAAAACAGAGAGAAAGAAATCTATTGAACTGTCTTTAAGTTATTTTAAGTTTGGTTTTTTTCCATTCATACTTAAGCGAGACAATTCTAAACTTTTTATCATCCATTCAAGCTCATGCTCAGGTATTGCTTCAATTAACTGCTGCTGGCAGATAAGATAAATAATCTACAGCAATCACAAAAGGTATTGACACAGCACTGAGAACATGGAGTAAAGGCCACTGCCTTGCAAATCGATTATTGGCTCACTACTACAGAAAAAAAAAAGCAGCTGAACATCACTGCCTGTGCTGCAGGGGAAATTTATCTTGAGGGCTGATCTTATAAATGCACAAATATTTACACACGTAACAAGGTGGCTTACCTGGCCTTCGTCAGCATACATAGGTATGTCATGAAATGGTGAGATGTACTTCCCTTCAGCATTTTCTGCAACAAAGATTAAACATTGGATGAATACGGCAGGCAAATACAAACTGCACGCAGCATTCACCTGAATGAAGTCATTCATATCGTGCTCGGAGGCCCCTGCTTGCAAAGGCTGGACTCTGCCGTGCATACTTAACCGGAGCTTATTTTGCCCTTACTTCTTTACTGCAGCTGGTATGAACGTGCTTTAATGAAAAACCTGCAGTAATCTAGCCATAAAAACTGTAAACTGTGAGACAACAACAACACTAGATTATGATGTGATGACAGTCAAAGCCCTTGCTGAAATTACTAAGTACACTTTGACCCACAATAAATAAGAGCGGGGGTTGTAATAAATCAATGAGGGCGTAGTCCCACCATCTCCAAGGATTTATGATGCCTGCAGGTAATTTAGCATCGTGCGAAAGTTAGCCAAAAGCAACTTCCTTCTCCCATGTACAAACAGGTAGGTCGCCGATCAGGTATAGCCACTTCATGCCAGATCCATCATTATTTCACAGGGTAAAACCTAAAGGACCGGTTAGGCCAGGTTATTGGACTCGAGAGGAGATTTACTATCGGTTTTAAAACATTCTATTAATTCCTTCTGCAAGGATATATGTAAATACACACACTTCACTGATATGACTGAAGGGAACGTGCAAAACAAATGAATAAGTGACACGTGGGAGGTTGCGACTAGCCGGTGGCATTTGAAGAGAGTCCTAAAAGTAGAGAATAAAGACGAAACGTTATTACTTGTGCTTATTTCCTACTTACTGAAAAACAAGCGGTAGCTCAGGGAGTTCGGGTTTCCCCTCTCTTCTACCGAGAAACTCATGTTGTCGTTTGGCTTTCTGTTTCACGCTGGATTTGAGTGAAGGATGGCGTCGGAAGAGTCTGCGCAGGGCTCTCGCGCTGCGTTGTCAGTCACCGAGGGCACCGCGCATGCGTACTTAGCCAATGATGCCTTTATAGGCGATTGGAAATATTAGCTTCAACAGAAAAAATAATTCTCCCATTGAACTTCATTACTAGTAATAACCACCAAGCTAGAACTTTATTTGTGAACATCAGTGCTAACAATATTATCCATTATCCACGATACATGTGTACTATAGGTTGAGAGTTTATACAAAAACTAAGAGGAAAAAACATATATAAGACAATATGATTCACAAATTGACATAATATATTCAAATTGTGCAAAAAATAAAGATAAGAAAATGGGGTTCATCTCAAATTCATTTAAAATATTTAAACAGTCCTGCTAACTTAAGGGTTTTCTTCTCATTTGCAAGCTTTAGTTACTTACTTAAGAGTTTAAATGATGTCAGCTGTCTGTTTTCGTGGTTTACAAAAATGTTCCCTGACAGAACAGTCCTGATAACAGAGTCTAAATCTGGATTCTCAATATATGTATTCCAAATTCCACTTAAATGTGGAATTAATGTGAAATGTGAAAAAAGGCCCATCAACAAACTCAAACAAAGCAGGAACAACACAGGTTGAACAAACATAACAATATGCAAATATATGCACAAAAAATTGAAGAGGAAAGTGCAAGTGATAGCCTCAAATCCAGTAAGCAGACAAAAATTATAACACAATATAACACAAAATTACACACTCTCAAACATGGAAACTCTTTGCATCACACACACGCACACATAGAGAATCACCTTTTCTTTTGAAAAAGAATCATACAAGAATGTGCATAGTTAAGCTAAAGGATTGGGCATGGAGCTCTAAACTGCATGAATAACTACAAACTACTCTTAGGTCCTTCCACTATTTCTTGTCAGTTGTCAATCATGCTTCAGCTTCCTGCACTTGTTGCTGTCCAGTTCATCTTCTGCCCTTTCTCTTTTGGATCCAAGTGCCTTGCCATTATACTTGTTTTGATCTATAGATAATGCTTTCAGCTAACTGCCAACATAAGTGCTCAGAGGTGACCTTACAATCATATTCATTTGATCAGCTCACCACTGACGCTACACCTTCTGCACTGCTTTGAGCTCCAGGAGGTTAACACAGCAGACCCATTATGACCAGATACAGCTGCCAGCTGCCCTCCATCCAACAAGTGATGCACCCAGAAACACTGCTTTTACTAGCTTTTATTCTCTATTTCTATTCTCGTAGAAACTTTAAGGTATATCTGTGTTTTGTAAAGGTTGATTTAAAATCCCTCTTCCGACTACACTTCAATTCTGAGGCAAGCGGAGCAGATGATCCCAAAGTGATCATCTATGAGAAAGCTTCCAATGGCTCGTTTTGGAGATCCCCCTCTATCACACCAGTCCTCCTTCCCTACATCCATGAATCTTTTCTGAGGACAAGATTCATTGATGTCCTCTTTTCCTCTTGCCTGCCAGCTCCATCATAAACATCCTATTGTCCAATATATATATTTTAACATCTCCAAACCATACATCATAGCACGTCTCACTACCATCTTGTAAACCTTCCCTTTCACGTTTGCTGCTATCCTTCTCATAGTTGTCTCTTCAGAAACCTTAAAAATAGAAATTAACGTGGATGTGTACATATTTTATAGCAACACCAAACTCAGTTTTAAGAATTATTATAATTATTTAATAAATTTTAATTATAACCGCCTCCTATTCTGCTATTAAACCATTTTTTTCATAAAATAAAAGATAATGTTTTCACTTTTAGCAAGGAAAGGGGAAACTATACATGCATGTACAGCCATGTCACCCCATTTGTTTTGTTTTTTTATGTTGCATGACAGAAACACCTACAAGTCCATCCATTTCTTGCCAGCATGCATGATTTCCGAAGAACATACAGGTTTCCCTGTTAACGTATAAAAAAAAGGTTTTAACCGATAGTGACGCCTCGCACGGCTGACCTCACATCCGGACGCAGCTTGTCGTGCTTCCTGCCTTGCTGAGGGAGGGGACGGTGCTGACGGCTGGGAGGACGAAAGGAGAGACAAGAAAGCTTTAGGGAAGACATACGAGAGTGGGGAACGGCCCGGGTTTCCACCGTCCGTCGGGAAACAAACACCCCAGTTTTCTGTAGCTGCTGGATTTGTCACCAAATCAGCGCTAAACAAAAATGTCGACCAGTCGTCAGCTTAGCGAGAGCAGGGCCATCCCGACCAAGACGGTGTTGATCAACAACACAACGCAGCTACCTCATGACTATTGTACCACCCCCGGAGGCACTTTATTCTCTACCACTCCTGGAGGTGAGAGGGCAGCTTGCCTGCTTTGTCGTCGATTTGTAGGGAAAGAGGGGAATTTGGAGTGAGGTGGTGCTTGTGGTCTCAGCTAAGCTTCAACTGTGCCTGGCAGTGTTGGCCTAGGCTGCCTTGTCATCCAGATGAAAACAAAAACAAAGCTTAACCCCGCCCCCGTGCGCTCTAGCTGCTGCCTGATTGGCTCGTTGGCAACGCAGAGATTCCATTAGTGCATCGTTACCTGAAACTGTGTATAAAGGTGTACTTGTTACATTTGCCCGCGGTGGTGAGCAGAAATCTGATGATCGTTAGATTACAGGTAAAGGCGTGTCTCTGTGGAAGCTCGTTTTCACCACTGGGATTTTTTTTCATGCATTAGTCGAAGTTTTGACTTATTAAGTTACTAACTTCAAAATGAGTTATTAAGTCGATATTTTGACTTATGGATCGCAAGAAATTTAGTTTTTCAGTGGCAGAAACAAGCTTCCATATGTTTTAGCTTCAGTTCATAATACTGGATATGTGATTTCTACAAGGACTCAAGCAGGGTTGCCAAACATAAGGCCCAGGGGCCAGAATTGGCCCGGCAAAGACTCCAATCCAGCCCACTGGATGGCGATGGAAAATATGAAAGAGGGCATAAATTTTGGACTTTTAAATGTATTTTAATAAGTTTTATACAGGTTTTTTTCTGCACATAAAGATCTCCACTTTGTCAGTGTATACGTACAATTGATTAAGTAACAGATAAACAATGAATTAAATGTTTTGACAATAGGTCTGCAGTAAAACAAGTCCTGTAAATGAACAGAAACTTGGTTTTGTAATTATAGCACAGTATGGGCCTACTAGAACCTTCTGTAAATTTCCACATTTATTTGTTACAATGTAAGCCCAAAGAGTTGTGCTGACAGATTTATTTCGTTTACTACAGCAACATTTCTTTACCATGCAGAGAAACAGAGAAGTATTGTTGAGAATGAGCATTTGTTTATTTTTCTCATATTTAATGCAGATTAAATGTGTAGTTGAACTGTTTTCAGTTGCTGAAAGGGCAGTTTCACAGGTCCATTTCAGATCAAAATGGGCTGTAATGAGGCCCACAATGTAAAATGAGTTTGACATGCCCGCACTAAAGGATCCTTTCCAATAAGGACAATCTTACACAATTTTCCTGCCTGACTGGCATCACTGATGTGCTTTATTCTGTATAGTAATAGTACTTACATAGAGACTTTCTGTTAAAGCATTCATTTCTAGAAGTGGGTGGTTTGATCCTAATATCAATATTATCAATATTGGATACTTTGTTTCTATATTCTATGTTCAGTATGTAGCTGCTGAATTGTGTTAATTATTTTTGGGGAAACGAACAAAAATACCTCAAAGATGCACTACAAAAATATATCTGGACCTTTTTGCATAGACTGTAACATTTATTGCATTTATGGACTTTAGCACAGATACAGGCAAAGAGAGGAACATTTACATTATAGGTCTCCAAAAAAAAAACAGTGCGCAGGATTACACAGCACTGTTTTTCTTTCATTATCAGCAAACGGTTTGTACAGGAAATGTCTGTATTAAGCATTACAACCACAAAAGGACAGTCAGTTTACAGTGAAATGAAACTGCTCAACTACACTCTAAATGCACATTTAGTTTTAGGCTAGAATAATGAATAGATTGGGTTTCTTAGGAGCAGGAAGAAAACGCCTGAGAGGAAGAAGTGAAACTAAAATTTGAAGAAGCTCAGCTGATTTGATCAGTCACACAGGTGCTGCTGATGAAATCAACTTGACCTGTGCTGCCGTTATTGTGAACAAGCTGATGTTAATGTTATTAGTTTCACCTGTGTTTGCCTGCTATGGAGAAGGGGAAAAAGGTCAAACTGCATCTTGAGTCAGCCACGAATGCAAATACTGGGATGTCACCATGGCCATCAAGACTGCAGATTTTAGTACGTTTATTCAGAAATTATTGGACAATAGTGTGTACAGGGAAACTCAGAACCTAATGGGGAAATATGTGCAGGAAGTTGGCTTCACTAATGTTATTGCATATAGTTGAATCTGGCCCCTGTGGATGAAGACCAGGCTTTTGCCTTTAAACAAATTAAGCTGCACCCATATTCACCATCTCTTTGAAAGGTAGCAGAAACTTGATGTTTCCCGTTTCAGGAACCCGGATCATCTACGACCGCAAGTTCCTCCTGGATCGGCGCAATTCTCCCATTGCCCAGACTCCACCGGCTCACCTGCCTGTCATCCCTGGCGTAACCAGTCTAAATGTTCTGACTGAGAACCGGAAGAATGAAGCCAACAACCACGTCAACAACCACGATGGGAAGCCTACAACTGGTAAAAGATCCACTGTTCCACATATTGATTAATTAATCTGCCTCTTCTAGACACATCTCAATACCTACTTGTCCTGTTCCCCTTTCTTTGTGCTTTAAAGGTGATGATGCTCAGTTTGAAATGGACATCTAACCGACTGGAACCACACCAGCAAAAGGAAATAACCTGGCAACACGTGTGCCAGTGGCTTGGCTTGTAGAAACCAATGTCGTGAGCCCTCATGGCAGCCATCTTCTTTAGCTCTTTGTCTCACTGCTGGATGTAATGTGTGTAAACCATGGGGATTCAGTCTATCATACAGGTACAGTTTGGCCATTGCTGGAAACTCGGTTTATTTGAATAGATTTCCATGGTTACCAGTTGCAGTACAAATTAACTTCACAACACGGGAGCTTCTCCCAGAATGCCCAAACAAATTAGTCCAATTTCTCGGGAGTCCCCCAGCAGAGACGTAAAACAGGAAATAATCCACGTTAATTGGGAGAGGAAGTGGTTTTTTTTTTGTTTTTTTCTTTTTAGTCTTTGCCTCGGAATCAATCGAAACATATGAAATTCCACACAGTCTTTGGTTTTGAAGACCCTTGTTAGCATGACATTTCAGTGATTTTTTTTTTTTTTTTTTTTTTTTATTAATTGTTTTGAAACTACTTGAAAAGCCCCACAGTCTATTATTATTATTATTATTATTATCAGTTGGACTCTTTAGTTTCCAGTGATGGTTTGTAAAGGGATGCTGTTTTCAATTAGGTGAAGATTTCATGCTATTCCAAGACTTCACTCTTCATTACCAACACAAGGGTGCACAAGTTTCCAATTTCCAAGATATGTTTTGTTTTTTTGTTTGTTTGGCTTTTATGTTTTGTTTTGTTTTTTTGTTTGTTTTGTTGTTGTTGTTTTTTTTTGTTTTTGTTTTTTAAATGAATTTTAGCCTGCGATTGAGCGGTTTTTAATCAAAAAAAGATTGTACTTCCCACTTATGTAAGGTTTCAACCTGGCAACTGACAAACAAGCTTTTGATTTTAGTTACATTTCAGTATAACAATATAAAGCCACTCATTTCATCACGACCGTGGCCTCGCTGTGATTTTTATTTTCATGTTCCTCATCTGCCAAAAAAATATTTTATTTTATTTTTTTTTTACTACACTTTGATCTTGTGTTGGCAGGTGCTCTGCATTCATAATTTGATAAAATCGAAGGATACTTGGCACCATGTGCTGGGAGCTTTCCAAACCAGATAAAAACATTTAGAAGAACATGGAAACGGTTAATATCCTGCTGATGTTTTTGGTGCGATACAAGATTTTGGAAAACTTGAAATAGTCCAGATGTTTTATATGCATTTTATTTTTTAATACGGTTTCTTAGTACTGAGTGAATTTGTTTGGATATGGGCACTGTCAAGCCTGTTGAATTGTTAAGCAGCCAGAACAAACTGTTTGCATCAGGCTTGATGGATGCTGTAATCAACAAATCTGTCCCCCAGTGTCCTTAACCCATTTTAGATTACCTTGTTCATCTCATGAGTCACGCCTGCCCATGCCTTACTTTACATGAAATGCAGTAACTAGATACCTGGTCATCAATTTGTACTTTCCAACAGATGTTTATTTTTTCACTGCAACATTGAACAGGTAACATTGTACTTGGCAATTGAGCAAAAGGAATACTTTTTATTTTCTTTGCCATTTTTCTATCCTCAAACAGCTGTGAAGTTTTGAAGTGCAATGGTAAATATGGGATATTGAAGTTGGCAATGTGAGAGTACCGCACACTCATTATGTTCAAATAATATTTTTTCTTTTTAACACCACAAATCCTATTCATACCTGCTAACTGTACTCTGTCCAAGTAGCAGCTCTGAATTCGGTAAATGACTCAACATGAAGTTTGTTTCTCAGTAAGACTGGAACCTCTGATGTCTGTCAGATTATTTTATTTTTTTCTTCTTTTTGCCGTTATTAATTCTGGCCATGTTTCGTGATAAGTCTTTACGGCATTATAATTTACACGGCAGATTTCTTTCCAGTGACTTCAGTTTCACAAAGAGGGCTTAATATTATGCTTTGAGAGACAAATTTGAAACCAACTTTACTGTAATCTTTTGTTCTGATTTTTAAATGACGTTTATTTTAAATGAGACTCCAATGCCAGTGGACACTGTTGCTGCAAGATCAATAAAATTCTGTAACAAAGGAAAAACAAGATTTTTTTGGGGGCTTTATTTTTCTTCTTTGTGTGTGGTTTTGGCAACTTTGAGAGGCAGAATCACACTCGTGCAAACAGGTGTGCTGAAGTTGATCTTTCTTATCTGATCACCCTTGTAAACATTTTCCTATGTCTTTTATTCATTGAGTGTTGTTTAGCCAACCACCTATTACCATCTAACACAATAGTGCATGTAACGTACTTTCTTAAAAAAAAAAAAAAAGAAATGGTGTTTGGTGTGTTGTTGGTGTTTACGTTCATAAGTAAATTGATTGCTCTATTTCAAAAGTGCATAATAAACAAGAGGGAGGATACTGAATTACCACCAACAACACTGCACCACTCACTTTACATGTTTGGAAAACTGCTTAATACTTAATCCTATCTCTGTTACTGCTCTTTCATAATCTCTTCAATAACTACATATGTATGTACATATAGAAACAAATCTGACCTATACTTGGTTTAAAAAGAAAAAAATTTTAAACTGTGTTTGGAAATTGAGCTCTACGCTTAGTCTATTCCCTAATTTTACTCCAAAAACTATATAGTCATCTCCCTATTTTTTTTATTTTTTTTAGGGGGATGGGCATTGTTAAAGTGGATGGATCTTGAAGCTCCAAAAGAGGTGTGTGTTTGGAGTTACCCTGACAAAAACCTGCACTTACAGTGTCCTTTTTTCCAGCGCAGTTTGGAAATGAAATGTTTTCATCAAAAAGCAATTTGGTCCTACCTAAAAAGTTCAGCCCAGTATGTTACAGTATTAAAAAAAAATATGTTGTTAGCTGTGTTGTGTTTTCTGTCCATCTCTTAAAATTAATGAGACTATAAAATGAGAATTGATGTCTAGTGAACTGAAGAACTGCCAGAAGTGTTGTTCATTATGTCATTTTACTCTGGAAGTTTGTTTCCTTCACTGAAAACAAGTTTTGTTGGACTGACTTACTCAAACCAATGCGAAAATTACTAAAAACTCCGAGAATCTAAAATGTAAATTAAGTCAAATTTTTTGAGCTAATGATCTAAGCGTTTGAGATAAGAACCTGTTTGGTTTTTAAAAAATAACCCGATATTTTGATTTTTGATTTGTAAATCGAGAAAAAGTGTTTTTTCCGATGAAAAACAATTTTTTAAGTGGCAGAAACAAACGTCCACAGTTTTTACCTCAAACGCCAAATGTTTATATGGCGAGGAAAGTTCTAAATTTTGCTTTAAAAGTATCATATAATAGGCTCTATTTCTTTGTAGCGTAATTAAAATGTTTTCACATTTATTAAATATTGTTAGAAACCGAAATAAAATTAAATTTCGCCGATATCATCTTTTCCATCAGGCAGTACGAGTAACATGCCCGCTAAATTTTGTGCAGGCATTAATCCGGTTGCCTGCTGGTCCTTCCTCCTTTTCTACGTCCCTGAGCGAGGCCGGCGTCAAGATGGTGAGTCTTGTGGTGAAAATTGCGAGTAAAATCTGTCGATCATCGAGGCCATCCGTTCACCAACACACATTTCTCTCAGACCAAGTGATCCTTTAGAGCTGCTTTATAATAAAATGTTGATATTGTTGTAGTGTGAAACGATCTTAGAGAAATTTCAGAGATACCGTCAGGATGCTAGTCTGACTGAGGTCGATCCGCATATTGCACACACCAGAGGCTACACTCGTCTTTCCAGTCGTTGTAAATTGTTTTCTATGCACCACATGGCCACATTAACACGCTTAGATAATCCGTTAATTTAGAAAATAAACACAAAGTAGCGCAGCTTACAGTCCTACCTATGGCAGCTAACGTTAGCATAATTACACTAATGGCGGCCCACACGTTAGGCTAGCATGTTTGTTAAAGTACCACAAGAACACTTCAGTAACGGACAGAAATAGGCTTTACAGCAATTAGTTGTTTTATTTCTAAGTTAACACACCGTGTAAACGTTAGGAGAGTCGAGGACTTAACGGTTATGTCAACATAGTGGTATTTAGGTAGGGTGAGACAGGTGAGCCTCTATCTTCACTATTATGAGGCTCTTACAAGTACAGCAGTTTTCTCGTTGCTAATGCATAATTTCTTTTCGTCTTCAGAACGACACTGTAACAGTTAGGACCCGCAAGTTCATGACGAACCGACTGCTTCAGAGGAAGCAAATGGTAAGGGCTCTCATGTTCATAGTTGATCACATCTCGAGCTTAAGCTCTAGTCCTGAAGCAGCACATTTATCGCCTGCCCTTCCTCTCTGTAGGTCGTCGATGTCCTCCATCCCGGCAAGGCCACAGTCCCAAAGACTGAAATCAGGGAGAAGCTCGCCAAGATGTACAAGACCACCCCTGATGTTGTCTTCGTCTTTGGCTTCAGGACTCAGTTTGGTGGCGGCAAGACAACAGGCTTTGCCATGGTGTACGACTCCCTAGATTATGCCAAGAAGAATGAGCCCAAGCACAGACTGGCCAGGGTGAGTTTTGAATAACTTTGCCAAGTCAAGTCAACACAAGTGGCTATACAAAAATCAGAGAGCTGTCTGTTGAAATTGGTATATATGAGCAGGAGATGTATGTTCTCTCAGCCATCTCACAAATTTTGCACGAGTCTGGACCTCCAGTGTAATGTTATGGGATATTATTTTACCCGAGAAGAGCTTTTGATGACATTAGGACGTAGTATTTATTATCTTGAACTAGAGCCAGATTAGTACCAGATTTGATGTTTTTACAGAGTAAAATGTGACAGGGATATTGGCTGATATTCTGCATGTAGATGCATATAAACTTGCGGTATGTTGGAGAGATATAGAAAGGGAAAATGATGGGGCTTCTATTGACTTATCAGGATACGTGTTTGTCAAAATAGTTAGCACCTTGCTATGAAGACCCTGCTTGAGTCATGATACCAGAGATTCAGGAAACCAATATCATGAGAAGTGCCTAATTCTCTGTACCCAATATGGCACCGTGGAGGAGGAAAAAGGTTCTCCCATGTATTTAAATCAAGATGTTTGCTGATTTGATTGTAGCAGATCATTTATTGAAACATTTTTAACAGTCTGTTAAAACACACTGAACTATTAGGATGGTTGTTGAGTGGCCTCCTAATCGTTGTACAGGTATAATGTTGGCTACATTGCATTAGACTAACCATCCATATACCATGGACCATAGCTGATTTTACAGTGGCAAGCTGTCTCAAATAAAATAGCAACCAGTATTTCAAGGAAGCATCGCAAAGTACTTCCGTGCCCCCAACTAGTTGCACTAGTCCCCCTCTTCCACTTAGTTGTTTTGCTGTGCCCTATGTGTGTGTGATGTTTCCTGTCCTTTTCAGCATGTAAGGATAGTCAAGCTTCAGTACACATGCTGCCTAAAAAAGATCTACAGCAGCAAAACACTGTTGCATTTTCAGAATCAGTTCTGAGGACGTCTCCATCATATGCCATGCAGTGGAGCAGAGAGTATTAAAAACAGTGGGGTCAGAGCCATTGGGTGGACATACAGTTTAATGATGCCTTGAACTACCACTAATTCATTTTTTGCAGTAGCCTGTATTTAAAAGAAGAAAATGTGTTCCTGTTAGTAATAATGATAGTATCTCTGATAAAGAAGTGCTAACGGTGAATTGGTTCAGCCCTCCTGTAAACTAGATACTGAACACAGTTTTACATTTGATTGATTTTAAG